GGGGGGGGGGGAGGAACAGCAGGCAAGAGTGACGGGTGCCGCTGGGTGTGCCCCGTCTCGCACCGCGGGCGTGTGCCGGTCGTGCCCGACCACGTGTAGAAGCACTGAGGCGGCTCGCGAGGAGGAGCAGCGGGAGGAGGAGGAAGTGGAGGGAGCGCGGGAGGAGGCCGTGGCGGTACCAATCCGTGACGGTGCGGGCCCCACTTCCACGAGGTGGGGTCGACCAGGGGGGGCGGCGAGCTTGGCACGGGAGCGAACGCCTTCGCGGACAGCAGAAGGACAGTAGCGAGCGTGAGAGTTCCTCTTCCCGGGTCGGTGGCACCCGCTGTGTTTTACGGTGAGAGCATGAGTTGCGAACCTGCAATTTCCCATACTGTCAACTGTTTGGATTCGTTTTCGCCTCGCATAGTGGCGGACACCACTCACGCCGAAACGTCAAAAACAGTAGCTATGGGGGCGGACACCCTCGGCGCTAAGTACGGGTCAAATAATACACAAGCCGAGGCCACCGCACGGGTGATCGATAAGTCAAAACTATTGGCGGACACCAATCGTGCGAATACTGACACACACCGGGCGGACACCCGGTGTGAACATGCATTACCCTCACCCTCGCAAATGGTGGACGCCGTTCCCGCGAAAAACTCACTAACGGAATACCTATTGGCGGACACCAATAGCGGGATCAATTACTGCTCTGCCTTGTACACCACGAAGACTGTGCCGGACACCACACGTGCTGAACACTGCAATGCAGTCGCCTCGAGGGCGGACACCCCGGGCGGATGTAATTGGCCCCGCGGCACGCAAGCGGTGGACGCCGCGAGCGTTGACGGTAAACAACAATACTGGCGGACACAAGTAGTGTGCAGAAGGACGTACACAGGCCGGACACCGTGTTTAAGAATTTGTCAGTCACACAGCCCCGATTGGCGGACACCATTCGCGGGAACGACACGGAATTGGCGGACACCATGACCGTGTCAGAAGCTTTCCCGGGGGCGGACACCCCGTGGGAAGCACTGTTGGCACGTAGGGCTCTAGCGGCGGACACTGCTAGGGCCGCTGACATCACAAAAGTAATGCGACATGATTGCGGGTCGAATTCAGCGACTTCTCACTTTGGGGCGGGGAAAGAGCCTTCGGCCCTAGAAAGTCCAAAAAATACAACCTCGTTGAAAAATTCAAAAACTCTGACCGATAGACTCGAGGTACAGAGAAACATACTCGCGTCAAGCATACACTCACTAGACGAGAAGCAATGTATCATTCAGAAGATGGCGGATATTGGTATTGATTTGGTAAAGCTTCACGATGGAAAGCTGGGAGACGTCACGAGGGGAATCGGCGGCACTCTGGTGCCACCGCCGTTGGACGTGAGCGACGTCAAGCAGTATTTCGGAGAGGAGAAGGGCTTCCCGGGTATCGATGACCTCATTGAGATAGTCGGTGAAGGAGCCCCGGCCCCCACTCTAGACTCGCAACAAAACCTTAAGAAAGCCTTGGCATACGGCAACCACCGTAGCGTAGACGATCACCAAACACAAGTGTGGGAAAAACTATGCGACGATGTTAAGCGTAACAGGTGTATTGTCCTGAGAAAGGCGAACACGTCGGACGTACGAGGGATCAGAGTAGCCCCGTTGGGAGCGGTCCCAGGGAAAAAAGTGAGGAACACCAACGACTCCTCTTTTGACCCAAGCACTAGCAAGGGGTCAAAAGGTGGGCTCAACAAAGATACCATTATGTTCGGAGCGCCACGTTGCCTGTGCGGCCAAGCACTACCAGCTTTCCTCGAGGAGCTCACTAGCCTACGAGTAAGGTGACCCGATAAGAGAATCCTCGCAGCCAAGGCTGATGTCACCTCTGCGTTCAGAAATGTTACGATTACCAGATCATGCACACAAGTTTTGCTACGTGATGGGAGACGTGCTTGTAGCGGACCTACGGCTGACCTTTGGCTGGGTAGCGTCACCAGGATTGTGGGGTGTGTTAATCTCCGCTGCAGAGCACTCGCACCGCGACACGTCCTTCGCGAACGCTAGACTACTACCAGAAGGAATCGCAATAATGTCCCATGTGAAAATAAAACCTCTTTGGGAAAAAGGCACCCCAACCCCAATACCATCGTCGGCAGGCGTAAGACCGCATAGAGGCGGGGGACCCGCGGACGATTTCTTTGCCAGGGTCTACGTTGACGATTTTTTGCTCACGAAGGTACAGCATGACCCCACGGACCAATCGGCACTCATTGCTTCCGCCTTGCTAGCGTCAGACCATGTCAGACTGTTTGGCAAGGGAGAAGTCTGAGAAACCCCCATTCTCGCCCCGAAAAAGAGCACTGACTGGGACACGGTCATAGAGGCCCTGGGGTACATCAAAGACACGCATGATGGCAGAATTGCAACTACACCCGAACGGGTAAGCGCGATTCGGAAGATACTAGAGGCAGATTGGCCCCACGATAGGAAGAAGGCCAGTGTTCAACAAGTTCTCAGCATTACAGGGAAACTGTGGAACCTCACGAATGTTATCAGGGCTGGTAGGTACTTTGTGTGGCAACTGCTCCGCCTATCGGGTCTGCATACGCAAGCCAGTCGACACACACGGTCACGACGACCAGTGGACTTGGGTAGAGAGTTCCATGGCGATATAACCCTAACCCTAACCCTAACCCTAACCCTAACCCTAACCCTAACCCTAACCCTAACCCTAACCCTAACCCTAACCCTAACCCTAACCCTAACCCTAACCCTAACCCTAACCCTAACCCTAACCCTAACCCTAACCCTAACCCTAACCCTAACCCTAACCCTAACCCTAACCCTAACCCTAACCCTAACCCTAACCCTAAGTCGACACACACGGTCACGACGACCAGTGGACTTGGGTAGAGAGTTCCATGGCGATATCACCCTAACCCTAACCCTAACCCTAACCCTAACCCTGCCATTGGTGCACAGAACGCAACAGTTATTATGCGCCTTTCCCCGCATGGAAAACATGGCCTCTTCCAAGTGCTAGAAACTGCTACAGCTACTCCGCCAAATCCATCAACTTGCGCCGGTGGTACTGCAGACCAGCCCTGCTAAGAGCCTTGGTTAGGAGGTCCGCGTGTTGTTCCGTTGTCGGAACGAACTTGACCGAAATATCCCTCAACCTGAACAATTCATGGATGAAATGAAACCGCACGTCGATGTGTTTCGTGCGACCTGAGCTGAGAGGGTTCTGTACCAACGCTATGGCCCCTTGGTTGTCCTCAAGGGACCTGGATGCTGCTACCACTGGTCTCTGGGGCAACAAACGAAAGCCCAGCATGCACAAACAACGCCTCCTTGGCGCCCTCCCCGGCAGCGATGTACTCGGTTTCCGTCGAAGACAAAGTCACGATGCTCTGCGTCGTGCTACCATGGCTGACTACGGTACCTCCAACCGTCGTCGCCAACCCTGACACCGAACGCCTATCCTCCGTGTCGGCGTAGCTAGCGTCTACGTACAAGGCCAGCCCTTACCCAGATTCCCGTAAGTAGGTGATGCCGAGGTCCCTCGTCCCTTACAGGTAGCCGAGGATCTTCAGTATGGCATCCCAGTGCTGCTTCCGCCGGGGCGTGGGCGTGGCGTGCTACCGCACGCACGGCGAACGAGACGTCTGGACGCGAGAACGTCGACACCCACATCATGCTGCCGATGGCCTCCCTCACCGGCCACTCCCCCCCCTTCTCTTCATTTCGCTTCGGTCTTAGGTCGACACGAGGGGAAGCAGGGGTGCAGGAGGTCGATTGTACATCTAAGCGTTTCACCATGCTGTCGATGTACGCGGTTTGCGAGATTTCAAGAGTCCAAGCCTCGTTATCTCTCTTGATGGCACACCCGTCAAACCAGTCGCATTCTCCCAGATTTTTGGTGGGGAACTTCTTCTTGAGAGAAGCAAGCAACTCCTCGCAACCCTCGTCAGACCCAGCCACCAAGGTGTCATCCACGTAAATCACGATGATCATCACCAAAACTTCGTCTACCATTTTGCGGAAAACACACGGGTCCGCCTTGCACTGCTCGAACCCGTTCTCGACTAGCGTATCAGCAGCGTGGTACCCCCACCGCCTACTACTCTGCTGNTTGAGAGAAGCAAGCAACTCCTCGCAACCCTCGTCAGACCCAGCCACCAAGGTGTCATCCACGTAAATCACGATGATCATCACCAAAACTTCGTCTACCATTTTGCGGAAAACACACGGGTCCGCCTTGCACTGCTCGAACCCGTTCTCGACTAGCGTATCAGCAGCGTGGTACCCCCACCGCCTACTACTCTGCTGCAGACCATAAATCGCACGCTCAGTCTTAACAATCTTATGCGATTTGTCCCCGCACCCAGCGGGAAGCCTCGGAAAAAACTCCTCGTCTAGCGTGGCGTGTGTGTACGCCTGCTTCACATCCCAGTGATTGAGGTTCATGCCCTTCTCGTTTGCTACCGCAAGTATCAGTTTCATGGATGCGGATGATGGACAAGGGGAAGACCGATGGAAATAATCGACGTTCGGGACTAGCGAAACCCCCCTAGCAACCAGACGCACTTTGAACTTTTCTATTATTCCTTCCTTGTTTGTCTTCCAACAAAAACACCACTTTGAGCCCATAGGCAGCCCCTCTGGCGCTAATGAAAACATCCCCGTGCCCAAGTGCCCTTCAAACTCTGCCCTCATGGCCTGTTCCCACCCCTCTCTGTACACAGACTTCGCAACGCCGGCAACGGTCATGGGGGGGGATCTACTTCACTCGGCCGCTTGCCTATGGGGGATTCACTTAGCTCGTGGGACGCCAGAGCCGTCTCGAAGGCGTCTGGCGGTTGAGCATGAGGTCCACCCTACCCAGCAGGAAGTCCTCCGCCTCTTGGCGCGCAGCGTGAGCCTCTTCCGGGCGCTCGAACAGCAATTTTCGCGCCGCCCTCGCATCTAGCCCCTCCGCCACGTGAAGAATCGCCGAGATCATCCAGCTGGTAGACTCCTCCGTGCTGCTGACGAGCAGGCACCGAGGCGAGCAGGGCTTCGGCACTTGTCGGCGACTGAGACGTCTCGTACCTCGGGTTTCGGCGAGGGTTCTCCCAAGTGCGGCGGCTGGTGAGTTCCGCCGGCTTGTTGAAGCGGGCGAGCCGCCGGGCCTCTGGCCCACGGAGCGCCAGGAGATCCGTCTCGCTGTTGCTGCCACTGCTGCTGTCGGTGCTGCCGTCATCGCCGCTGCTGCCACCGCTGCTGCTGTCGCTGTCGCTGCCGCAGCTACCGCGGCTGCTGCTGTCGCCGCCGCTGCCGCCGCTTCCGCTGCTGCGGCGGTCGTCCTCGCCGCCGCCCACATCGTGCCGGTCGACGTGGTAGATGGGGCGACGCTCGCGCCCTTTCTGCTTGAGGGGGCGCCATCGTCAGCGTCGCCCGCGCCAGACTACTGGTGCGCGGCCGGCGGCGCCGGCGGCGCTACGCGCGCGGGCGACCCCGCGGGCCCAGGGGCTGCCGTCGTGCCAAGGTCGAAACCTGGTCCTCCATCCACATGTTTTCCCTCCGCCCTCCCTCCACCTTGGCTCGACGCCCCCTCCGCAACCTCGTCCTCCTCAGTCGCGAATTACTTTTCCTCTTTTGCGATGTGAGGAAGCGACAGGGGCAGGGCTGCGGGGGCGGCGGGTACGGATTTTCGGGTAAAGTTGCGAGTTGTGATCGCTTGGTTATTTTTTTCGTTCAAGGTGAGCACGCAATCATGGCTAGTGTTGATTTCCAGGCCGAGGTAAAAATGTTTTTGGGCCTTCCTAGGGTTAGGGTTAGGGTTAGGGTTAGG